ATTTCTTCTTGGTCGAAGGTCTCGGTTTTGTTGAACTGGGCGAGCACTTCGGCTCGGGCTTTTTGGGCCATTGTTCCGTCGAGACGGACGTAGGGGATTCCGGCTTTGTCCAGTTGGGGGGCTATAAGGTCGAGGAAGCTGGTGAATTGGGAGAAGACGACTGATTTGGTGGTTGATGGGACGCGGTGGAGGTGGTTGATGAGGGAGTGGATTTTTGCGGACGTGTGTGCGGAAGGAGAGAGGGGGTTTATTCTACGGAGGGAGATTCGGGGTGCGGGTTGGGTGCTGGATGGTGGAGTGCTACTGTATAGGTCGTTTTCCGTGGGGGTAGTAGTTGGGGATTGATGGCGGATGACTTCGAAGATATCTCTACTGCTGACTGGTGCTCGGCATGAGAAACATCGGGGAGAGTCGCCCTTGTCTGTTTGGTGGCGTATATAGTCCTCGAGGCACTTTTTGCATGCGCTGTGCCAGCAGGTAGTTACTGCTGGGTCGATCATGGGTTCCTCTGAGCAGATGGGACATTCGCCGCTAGATTCGTTTTGAATCTGTTTCAATGCGTAGGTGGTGAATTTGTTAGAAGATTCTTGGCCTTGATTGGAATCTGCTGATTCGGTTGTCGTTGTGAACCGGTCTATAAGCTCCTGTAGGTCCATGTCGTCCTTGAACCCGTTGCCATCGTTAGCTGCTGCCGCTGCATCCTCTTCGTCTGCTACGATGGCCTTGTTGCGGGTTAGAATTGGATGGCAGCATGTTTGACGTAGACGGAGAATCTGAGCGAAGATTGTGGTGAACGATTTCAGCAAGGTACCCGCCTCGATGTTGTCGTTGAATGTACGTTTTGCTCGAGTATAAATATAATCATAAATCTCTCTTTCTTGCTCCGGGAGTTCGACCTCCTCGATTGTAATGGTCCGACGTGGCAGTGGTACTAGAGGCTCCCCTTCTGGGGTCTTCATCGTCTTGGTGCGTCGGAGGACTAGAGGCTCAAGAACAGTCTGTACCACATTGAGGGCCCGCACGTAGTCCTTCGACTCGAAAGGCACAGTAATAAAAGTTTTCCAAAAGGAGAAGTTATTCCACGGCTCAACCTTGAGAAATCGCACTAAGCTGAACAAATCCTCCAAGCGGTTAACGATAGGTGTCCCCGTGAGGACCCATCGGTGAGTCGCTTTAAGCTCGTAACAAGCTCTTGCCGTCTTCGACAGTCTATTCTTGATAAGGTGTGCTTCGTCAAGAATGACACGGAAGAATTCTACCGAGAACAAACCAGCTGGCGTAGCGGCTGAAAATGTTGCTGACGACAACATCTGTCGATACTCTGAGAGGATAACTCCGTAGCTCGTGACTATTACATTGGGAGCCGTAGGGTTACCTGCTGCGCACAACTCTCTGAGGTTCACATACTTCTCATTACCATAGTACATCAGGACCTTCATGGAACCTGGTTCGGAAGCTTTCAGGGCTTCACTCTCCCACTGCGAAAGGAGAGAAGTGGGAGCAACAACAAGAGTAGTGTAAGGAGCAACGACCACACCAGAGGATGTGGAGGGTAGCCTTGCTAGGCCGGAGACGGAGCTTGGGCCATCTGCTGCTTGGCCGAGAGGTACGTTTCTATGCGAGTGAACAAGACTAAGCATCTCGATAGTTTTACCCAAACCCATTTCATCAGCTAAGATGCCTCCAAGACAGTGCTGTTCTTGTGCTGGGAAGTCGAGACTAAGCTCTCCGGAATACGGGTTGACGTAAAAGTGATCGAGGCCCTCAATAGTCGGAAGGTTGTTATCTTCAACATCTTTGGCTGGCCACGCATATTCTTCCCACAGCGGGTTCATTGATGGACCTCTGGCGGACTTGTGGTCTTTCTCCTTGGCTAACATCCAGTGGAGGGCTTGCTTCTGATACTTTCGAAGGCACAACGAGAATGTCGGTGGAGGCTCTGCCTCCGGCATACTGAAGTCGAAAGTCTGGGCCCTCTTGTATAGAGTATCAAGTTGGTCTTCTTCTAGTTCCGGGGAATCTTCGTCTTCAGATGAGTCGTTATTCGATTTGTTCTCTTTCTTATTTTTATCGTACTGTTCTGCTATCTCCACTGCACGCAGCAGGCCCTCCTTCTTATGTTTCAGTGTCATGTCGTTTGCTGAGGTCGGTTGGAGACCGATCTCATCAAAGAGTTTCACCAGAGCGACTTGGCGAAGTCGTAGCCGCTTCTCTTCAGTGCTTTCTTTCTCTTCGAAGATGGTTGTTGATCGATTATCATCGATTGAGCTATCGAGCATGCCGGATTGAAATGCCTCTACACGTAAGTAACACCACAGTTGCAGGTATATTGTGTCATTCACGCGGACTCTATCCGGTGCGAATACACAAACTCCCTCGAGCTTACAGACTTTCTGATCAAGCAAAGTTGACACCCATGCCGCTGTCTCCTGAGGAAGTCGTCCAATTTCTTGGCCGGCTTGATTGGTGAAGCGAGTTAGAACGTCACCTCTGTTGTTTGTGAAAACCCTCCCTCCACGGCCACGCTTCGAAGCCGGCTGAGACCTTGCACGCTCAATATTAACACGATCTCCATGTTTGATAAACCCCACTCCACTCCGAGTCGCCCATGCTCCTACACCGAAGGCACCGACGTATCTGACCGAGGGCTGAGAGGTATGCCGAGGTGCAATTTCAGCCGGAGCACTACTCCCCTTCCGTCCTGGTCCATTTCCAAACATAGATGTCTGATTAACAGGCGTAGACCGTGTGGACAGCGTTTGTTGGGATGTCAGCGTGGTTTGGTTCCTTGCACTACCAGAGGGAGACTTCCATGACCCATCGAAATAAACGTTGATCGCCCTCTCTAGGTCATCGCCAGCTACACTCCGAATCTTGCGTATCGTGTCTGGTGAGAGTCGCTCCCCGATGATACTAATGAAGACCTCCTTGTCAAAACCATCTGTGCCCTCTTGTGCTGATGTGTTTTCTGTTGCCACTCTCTCCTCCTGCGTTTCTGGTACTACACCATTTTGTGTCGTAGAAGTTGGCCCTTGCCCTATAGTATCTCCGGAGATTTCTGCTTCTCGTTCTCGTGGCAAAGTATAGCTCGTAGTCTGCTGATCATCGTCTTGTACATATCCGCTTTCCACTCCGTCTACCGAAATTATTTCATCGTCAAACTGTACACCATGGGCTCGAACAACCGGCGGTCGATCATCGTGAGTGGAACGAGGAGTAGACGCGTCGAGGGATGCAGCTGTAGAGTCAATCGAGGAAGGCTTGGTGTCCTCGTCTTCGTTGACGAAAAAACGTCTCTTTTTCAAGGGACGGTCATTAATATCCCCCGACTCCATTATGTAGTGACCGTCGCTGTAATAGGTGAGAACAAAGATTCCTGTCGGGGGGGGGGGGGGGGAAGTCTCAGGGCGCGAAAATCCTTTGATGCTGCATAGTTAATAATCTGCATGGATGATTGGCGCGGAGGACGCGCCGGGGATACGCGAACTCACGGGCCGACGTCATTTTCTTCTGCTGCTCCCAAAAGGGCAAAATTGTTCAATCCCCTCAAAATAGCTTCTATCTCGGGGTAGGAAAAGATGTATGTGCTACTATCTCCTCTCCTTCAATTGCCAATTTTAGCTAATCATTTAATACAGCTCCATCTTGGCTCAAGGACGGCGTACCCGCAATGCTATTTTTCGTCTTCTCTCCGGGATTTTTTTAGTTCGACCGCAAAATAGTCACCAACCACTTTAAGAGACGCCTCAACTCTCTCCCATCACCATGTCACCACTCAAAGAAATGCTCCAACCCACACGCAGTGCAAGCCGCCAAATAAACCGTCTCTCCACAAGCGGCCGACAACTCCAACCAGCTCAAAGAAGACACTTCAGCCACTCCAGACCAACGGCAAGTCCAACAACAGCCGCAGCAACCGAAATCCAAGCAGCACAAAAATACTGCTCCGATCTCCTCATGTACGTCTTAATCCAATTCCCACACTCCAGAAAGAACCTTCATCTGATACCCCCGCAGTAAATATGACCGCCCCTCCTACACCCTCCACACCTTCATCCCGCGGCACGCCCAACCATTCTACCTCGCCCTCCGCGCCCTGAACGTCTCCCTCTCGATGATCCCCGAAACAACAAGCTCACATACGATCGGCCTCATGCGCCTCCAATTCTGGCGCGAATCAATTGTAAAGATCCTCGCCGGCACTCCGCCCAAGGAACCCATCGCCATCCTCCTCTCCTCCGCCATCGCAGACCTCCACGAGCGAACCAACGGCCGCGCCCGAATCAGCAAAGGCTGGTTATCACGGCTCATCAGCGCTCGCGAGCGCGGCCTAACGAATGACCCGTACCCCGATATCGCGGCGCTGGAGTCCTACGCCGAAAACACGTATTCCACGCTCATGTATCTCACGCTCTCGGCGTTGCCCATGGCCTCCGTTACGGCGGATCATGTCGCATCGCATGTGGGGAAGGCGGCGGGGATTGTGGCTGTTTTGCGGGGGTTGCCGTTGGTTGCGTTTCCTGCGGCGCGCGCAGCAGGTCAGCAGGGTGGTCAGCAAGCTGGCGGCGCGGCGAGGCAGGGGGCTGTGATGCTTCCATTGGATGTTATGGCGCAGGCGGGGGTGAAGGAAGAAGAGGTTTTCAGGCTTGGGGCTGAGGCGCCTGGGCTTCGGGATGCGGTTTTTACGGTTGCGACGCGGGCGAGTGATCATCTAATTACCGTTCAGCAGATGCTGAGTAACTTGCGTGCTGGGCAGGATGTGGGGCATGACTTTGAGCATGAGGGCGAGGAGGGGCATGAGTACGAGGCCTTGGGTGATCAGCGGCAGGAGTCGCCGTTGGATGAGGTTAACAGCGCATTCGGTGTCTTCATGCCTGCGGTGGGTACACGCCTATGGCTGGATAGACTGCAGAGTGTCGACTTTGATATTTTTAGGCCTGAGCTTCTTCGCTCGGATTGGAAATTGCCCTGGAAAGCCTACATGGCGTTTAAGCGGAAGAGTTTGTAGTATCGTGTATGATACTGATCCAAGTGTACTATACAAGATTATGTATATCTAACATGTCCATCCCGGCTCTAACTATGTACTCAGTTTTATACGATAGTAGGGTAAAGCGATTGCTGCTCGGTGGTTTTCATCGCCTCCTGATAGCGTCTCGCTTTCGTCTCTTCCTCGAGCTGGTGATGAGACGTTTCTGGGCAAGCCGCGCCGTCCATCGTACGATCTTGTCGCGCCTAGAGTCTGCAGTTAGCATAATTCCAGCAAACTAGTGGTTCGGGCTGTTACATTAGGAATACGGTAATGGCGAATACAAAGGGACACGCAATCTGCCAAAAGTATCTAAAAAGACCGAGGGTTAGTACGTCGCGGCCATGCACTATTAAATATCAAATCACGTACGCATCACTGTGCTTAATGCCATCGAAACTTTCGAAATTCATACCGAAATAGCCCTAGCTTGTGGTCAACAACAGGCACAGTTTGGTGCTAAATGCAAGGTGAGTACGAACCGACAGGAAAGTGAGAGGGAGAAAGAAGCAAGACACGAGCGTTAGTTGCTTCATGCTTTCGTTCTGATATGCACCTGGATGTGGTTAACACAGTCAGTCATACAAGGTCTTCGATTGTGAGGTAATGCATACCGATAGTGTTGAAGATAAGATCGATCATATTGTCAGCAGCCCGTCTCATCTGGTCGTACCCTTCGACTATTGTAATGCAGTGATCGAGCGCATCGCCCAAGTACGTATGGCACATGGTACTAATAGATACGCTGGAGCCACCTACACTTTTGAGATTCGGAGTAGCGGTGCCTATATATGGCGCTGGGTCTGAGGAGTTCGGGGGCCCAAAGTAACCCTTCAGTACACCTATTCCGGGGGTGTTGATTGGTTCAGAGCGATGATCTCGCAGCGCGTTGATGATAGTTACGATAGGTTGCATAGAATTTCGAAGGATTGAAATCTCAGATGTTAGGATGTAGAGGTCCTTAGACTGATCGATATCAGGATCAGTCAAGACGTCAAGTTCCAAGTCGCCAATGGCATCTTGGTAAGCTGTGGTCACCGGGATTGCAAGGTCAATTATAGCATCCAGGATTGCTTGCACGAGCATACTGGCATCACACGATTGACGCAATATAGTCTCCGGAGAAGTCAACCGTTTGACAATAGGCGATTCGATGTCGTCGGCGCTTGTCTCAAAAAAGGAGGTCACAGTGTTATCCGCGTGTAAGAATATCGATACCTGCTCTAAAGCGACTGATAGCCCCTTCGCTGCTAGCACAGCATGTCGCTCCATGAATTCGATGCGGTCTTCGTTTGGTCCACCTCGATACCGCTGCATGCTGCGAGCAGTTCGCCCAATATTTGAGGCATTGTCAAACGAAGCTTTTGATTCGGCTTTCTTCATAGAAGGGCGTATATTTGCCCCTAAGTTGGGTTCATTACTCGGGTCTCTTTTTCGTGATTTTAGCCTGAAAAGGTCTTTCAATGCCTCCGTAATGAGACTCAGGGTAGTTGCTCGCTTCAAAGACACACTCTTGCTGCTTGTTGTTGAGCCCCTTCGGTCATGTTCCCATTGACCCTGTTCAGACTCTTCATCCGAGTCACTAGTTTCTTCATAGATTCGGACTAATTTCTGTAACGTGAGCACAATGTATGCATGGTCCGAATACCAGTCGACTTTGGTACGATTTGTCGTATTGATCAGGTCCTCAATGGCAAGCCTGTGTATACCTTTCTGATTTCCCAGGGCTCGGATTACATCCCAGCTGAGCCCATTGACGTTAATCCATCTGCATTGCACCCAGGGCTCCCTCTCTCTCGCAAGAAATTGCTCCAGGGTGTCGTTATCAAGCTCATATTGTCTCATCTCATTCTGAGAGAAGTCCACAACAATGATCTCACACCTTGTAAATAGGTCGCTTGGTACAGCAGTTGCCCAATCCGCATTGTAAGGCGGGAGCGGCTTGGTGGGGTCTATGCCGGGCTCCGTGCCAGGGTGCCAATTAGGGTCATGAGTGACATTGTCAGGGTGGTATGAGCGCGCCGTATTTGACCTCCGTGCACGATTCCTAACCGTGTCATTTGATGGTCCCTTAGTCACTGTTGGGAATGACTCAAGGCCAGCTGGCTCCACGGTGGTTGGTGAAGTTTGCGGATGCGCCTCGATATCATGGGAACCGGATGGCAACTCCGTGGTTTCTGTACGTTCAAGTGAGACCCTACTCATCGTGACGAAAGGGATCTGTGTACTTCGGTTGGAAGAGAAGAGAGAAATGAATATTGAAAAAAGAAAAAGAAGGAGAAAGAGGAAAACAGAGGCGGGAATATCAATACGAAAGCGTAAATAGCCAGTCGCTGCAAGGAGAATCGCACGCCTCTCTCTGATACGGAAGGAGCAGACAATGGATTGAATAACCGAATGCACGGCCAGTGACCCTAATTTCGTATGTATATAAGGTCAACATCGAGTGAGTATGAGCGCCCTCTCAATATGTTGGATTGCGCGCAGGGTGAGGGGAAGCCATGGTGAGGTGGATATTATGACGTTTGCAAATGGAGTTAGTTCAATCGTCCACTATGGACTTCGAAGCTTTCAAGGCATGAACCACAATGGTAAAGAAAACACTTGGTTCGCGCCTACTCCTCGGTCCCAGTATATAATGAAGGAATTTCAAGCAATTTCTGGAACATCTAAGCTTTCTGTGAAGTGTGGTTAAGCTTGGGGTTCATCTCTTCGAAGTTCCATCAAAGGAAATTTAACGTTTTTTAGTCTCGCTGCGGGTGCCATCCACTCTTGGCATAACCTAAATTTGTGCCTAGACCCTGGAAAATCCCCGCGATTTATCAAGATTCTTCCACACAATATCTAACAAATATTGGCTTTTATTTTTACGAGGACAGGATTTAGTTGTTATTGTAAGTGGGGAAAAGAAAGAGCTAACGATATGAAATAGCTACTTCCCTACAAGGCTCAACCCAGACGCCAGAGTTATGCAGTCGAATTATTCTATTAAGGTTAGATTTACTCATTTAGACGCTGTAGCGTGTGGCTGATATACGAATTGTGGTTGGAGGAATTTCCGCTAGGGGTCTCCAATTTATTCAGAGGAATAAAATCATGAGAACACAATACGGTCATCTCAAGGGTTAGAGAAGCAGAAAATGGAAAAAAAAAAGAAAAGAAAAGAAAAGAAAAAGAAAAAAGAAAAAAGAAAAAAGAAAAAAAAATAGAAAAAAAAAGGTCGCTCCATACCCTCATAATTCATCAATGCCTCATGCAATAGGTTGATAGGGCAATCTTCGTCTGATCATTAAGTGCGTCGTGCAAGGTAGACGAACTACCAACTATGTCCTAGCCCAGTGTCACTTCTTCTCATTTGGGAGCTATAAAAGATTATGCTCTCCGAATGTGAATGTCATCATCGTGGTCAATCACTAACAGCTGAGCTTGGTATACGAAGAAGTTTCCAATAGGGTGCCATTTGGCAACGTCCCGATTTGCGGGGCTGGCTATGAATGGAGAAGAAATCTCGCTGTGGCCATGAATGTCGTCAGTCAAGAGGCCTTCGGAAACCCAGAAAAGACTCTTAATCACTGGGATAATACACCGCGCTCAACAGCCATGTGTGTCCAACAATTCGTGCATCAATGCCAGGGCGATGTTCTGCGGCATCATCCACATGGCACAGAGCTAGCGTGCGGAAACTACCCACTACTCGGCACAGTTGTATTCCTCTTCTTTGTGACAAGTTTGAGCTGCAAAGGTACGAGATTCCTTTTGGAGCCTGGCGCGTCGTTCCGTGCAAGTGGTTTTCTGCACACGGGGCAGGTTCCTCGAGGGCCTTTTGACGAGGTATCTGCTCTTTGTTCTTCGCTGAATTTCAATGTGTCGATGATGCATTTGTGGCAGAAGAGGTGCCCTATTTGCACTAGTCAGTACAAATAATCTTCCGTGTACAGGTGTTACACTTACCGCATACTGTGCTAGTGGCATCCTCTGGTGTATCCATACATACAGGGCACTTATATGAGTTTAATATCGATTGCCCCTTCTCCGGCTCAACGGATTGTTGGGCCCTAACAGCGTCCTCCCGTTGCTTCGCTAGCACCTTTGCTAACGTTGAGGGAGCCTCCACCTCTGTTAAATCAATGGACTCGATATCATCTTCGTGTTGATCCAGCTCAGATTGAGCACTCGTTGCTACATTAGAGCTACTCAAACGGCGACGTTTTCGTCCCTCGCCTCGGGTTTCTAAAGGCTCAACATGGTCGGAGGGCCGTCGTCGACGAGGGGACGCTTGTATAGTATGGGAGCCAGAAGGTAACGGGCCCCGGATCGAAGAGCTTCGATTCATAACTCTCAAAGGGGTATCTAAAGGCGACAGAACAGAATCCTTGGCCGATGTATTGCGAGTGCTAGCCTTCTGCGGCTTGGGAAGTATCGTAAATCGGTAAATGCAGTCCTGTGGAGATGAACAACCAAGCGATTTAGTAAGTAAAATTCGATGAATATATTCCCAGACCTACGACACAAATAGGGCATATGTCAGGCGCAGGAAATAAGCACTGATAGTGGCGAGGATCTGCAGCCGGGGTTCAGTTAACTAGTTAGTTATCGGCAATGTTGATTATCAATCACCTGATGATAACTAGAAATTGAACCTCCTATCCTGGAAGGCGGTGAAGCTGATACGGAATATAGTATATTCCGTCCGCGTATCATCATGACGGAGATACCGCGATAGGAAAGAATGTACAAATCCTTGGGAAAGCCAAAAAGAAGCCCCTTCGCATCAGCTTCGCGCAGCACCGGCTGCGAGCATCAGCGCATCAAGCCATGGGCTTATTTACGTCGATTTTTTACACGACCTAAGATGCTTTGGAGTCATTCTTGCGCTCCCTATTCTAGGGGTGTAATACGTTCTTGCTCGCAAAAATTGCGTTCGCCACTCATCTCCAGGCCACGGCCATTATCACTAGCGCGGTATTACTTTTCGCAGGTACCTACACAGGATGATGAAATAAAGCCTAGGCAGAGATCTCTTGCAGGTACTTTTGCATTGTTCCACAATTTATAACCGTTAAGTCCAGATGCTGATTTCGCAGTGCCCGCCACGGCTAGGTTCAATGAGATCGGAGTCCAACAATTGAGCGATCATGTATTTTCCCAAGTTTTTCCGGTAAAATCAGAACCTCCAAATCCAGAATTGGTTGCGTTGTCGAAAGAGCATCTCTCGAGGCATGACCTGCTCGGGAAATCTCAAGATGCCACGGAACCGGTAGCATTCGATATGCCTCCCCTTCAGGGGCAAACGTTAGATGAGCATTTTTTCAAGTTAGGCATGGATGCGTCGGAACCTTATATTACATACGCAAAGGAGTATATCAAAGTCAACTCTCCGAGCATTCCGCGCAAATGGATCAAACGCAGTGGTTGGACGAAATATTATGGTGACGGCTCTTGGGAGCCCGTGGACGCTCCAAATGAGTCGATGTTAACTTTTGATACGGAGGTTATGTGGAAAGAGCATTCCTTTGCTGTAATGGCTTGTGCTGTCAGTCCTACGGCTTGGTATGCGTGGCTGTCGCCGTGGCTGCTGGGGGAATCAGACAATCATATTCAGCTCATACCGTTGGGAGACATCTCACAGCCGCGAATTGTCGTGGGTCACAATATTGGCTATGATCGCGCCCGTGTATTGGAAGAGTATGATATGAAACAGACGCGTAACTTCTTTCTCGATACGATGTCGCTGCATGTAGCTGTGAACGGGATGTGTTCCCAACAGAGACCTACCTGGATGCGCCACAAGAAAAATAGGGACTTGAGGGACAAGATTGCGAATGAGAATAACTCTGTCGAGCTTGCAGCTCTTCTTGAAAGCAAATTGCTCAGCGATGAGGAAGAGGAGCTATGGGTAGGGAGGAGCTCTGTGAACTCCCTCCGTGACGTTGCCAAATTCCATTGTGATGTCACGATCGACAAGGCGCAGCGAGATGATTTTGGTGAACTCTCAAGGGAGGGGATCCTAGGGAAAATGGATGAACTATTGGATTACTGTGCTGCGGATGTTGCCATCACCCATCGCGTATACAAGAAGGTTTTCCCAAATTTCCTTGAAGTCTGCCCCCACCCGGTCAGTTTTGGGGCTCTCAGGCATCTTTCATCAGTTATATTGCCAGTCAATGAGACCTGGAAGGACTATATTACCAATGCCGAGGCGACCTACCACCAACGACTTGATGACGTGCAAAGTAAATTAGTTGAATTATGTGATGAAGCTCTGAAGGTCAAGGACCAGCCGGATGTGTATATGGACGATCCCTGGCTACGACAGCTGGACTGGTCTGGTCAGGAGATCAAAATGGCCAAGGGAAAAAAGAAAGGGGATCCTCCTCGACCAGCTGCGAGGCAGAAAAAGCCGGGTATGCCAAAATGGTACAAAGATCTCTTTGCCACAAACACGGCCGACATCAATCTTACTGTACGAAGTCGGACTGCGCCTATATTACTCAAGTTATCGTGGGATGGGTATCCATTAACTTGGTCCGATAAACACGGTTGGACATTCAAGGTTCCACGTGATCAGGTCAAGAAATTTGAGAACCAGCCTGTAGTGCTCTGCGATATGACCGAAGAGAAAATCGCGGAATTACGGGATGACAGAAGACATGTCTACTTCAAGCTTCCACACAAGGATGGACCTCAGGCCCGGTGTGTTAACCCGCTAGCCAAAGGATACATGCAGTATTTCGAACGTGGGACTCTTACTTCGCAATATGCGCTCGCCAAGGAAGCGTTAGAGATGAATGCTTCTTGCTCATATTGGATCAGCGCTCGGGACCGAATCATGGGGCAGATGGTTGTCTACGAGGACGAGGTGCAAAAATCTCAATCGAATAATGCGGAGAGCAGGACGGGGTTTATCCTGCCTCAAGTGATACCAATGGGTACTATTACGCGACGAGCTGTGGAAAACACATGGCTTACTGCAAGCAACGCCAAGGAAAATCGTGTTGGATCTGAACTTAAAGCCATGATCAAGGCACCGCCCGGCTATGTCTTTGTTGGTGCAGACGTTGACTCACAGGAGCTCTGGATCGCGAGTCTTATCGGTGATGCTCAATTTCAGATTCACGGTGGTAATGCGATCGGCTTCATGACTTTGGAAGGGTCCAAGGCTGCAGGAACCGATATGCATTCACGCACTGCCAAAATTCTAGGGATTTCGCGCAACGATGCTAAGGTTTTCAACTATGGCCGGATCTACGGAGCTGGCGTAAAATTTGCTGCTTCATTATTGCGCCAGTTCAACCCTTCCATGTCAGAAAAGCAAACCCAGGAAGTTGCGACCAAACTGTATCAAGAGACGAAAGGTGCACGTACGACACGTCGCATCTTAAGTGAGAGTCCCTTTTGGCGCGGCGGCACGGAATCTTTTGTCTTCAACAAGCTAGAGGAGTTCGCTGATCAAGAGAGACCAAGAACGCCTACGTTGGGTGCCGGCATCACTGAGGCGTTAATGCGGCGTTTTATCAACCGAGGCAGCTTCATGACATCGCGGATCAACTGGGCAATTCAATCATCTGGTGTGGACTATCTTCATCTACTCATTATCGCCATGGACTATCTAATCCGGCGCTTTAACATCTCTGCTCGTTTAGCGATCACTGTCCATGATGAAATCAGGTATCTCGTCAAAGATGAGGACAAGTATCGTGCTGCTTTGGCTCTGCAGGTAGCTAATGTCTGGACTCGTGCCATGTTCTCGCAGCAAGTTGGCATCAATGACCTCCCTCAGTCTTGCGCCTACTTCTCTGCAGTTGACATTGACCATGTTCTTCGGAAAGAGGTAGACATGGATTGTGTTACCCCTTCGCATCCACACAAGATCCCACACGGTGAAACTCTAGATATCGTACAACTTTTGGAGAAGAATGAGGCTGCTTGTCTAGACCCTTCTGTTATCCCGAGCTCCCCTCCCTCTCCTCAGAACTATACGTACATACCACGAGAGTCCGTGATGTCCACTCTTCAGTCCACGAATAACCCTGCATTCATTAGAGCCCAAATCACAAAGGATGATAAAGAACTTCGAGAAATCATCAAAGAAGTTACCAAGGTTAAATCCGCTTCCGGGCCGTCATCAAACGCACGTTCTCAAAGCGATCGTGCCAAGTCTGCCAATTCCTATACAGCACAGCCTCAGAAGGCCATTTTAGTCGACGTCGGGTCAGGTCTTTACAGTGACTTTAACGATCTTCCCCCGGGGAGCAGGCATCCCCAGGTCAACTTAAACCGACAGACTTGGAGATCCCGGCCATCTGCTCGGGCTTAAATGCTTGATTCTGACAATTTTGTCAACCACTTCCCTCTTTCGATTATTCTATGTATATATAAGCCGATCTATTGGGACCTGGACATGGTGTATTCTTGTTCTTTTTTGTCTCTTCTCTACTTTCTTGTATTCCTACTTAGACCTGGTTGGGAAGCATTGGGTGGCGTCTCGTCTGGCAGTTTCGGGTGGTACGAAGTATCCATGTCGCATTATATGTTGTCTAACGATAGGCATGTTGATCGTGATGCTATAATACTGTATATAATATTTCGCCAAAAAAAAATACATATAATCAAGACAGTTATACACTGTAACAATTCCCCGGCTCGTGACTCTGTCAAAGAAAGACCTAACCTAAACTTGACACCCAATACATCTATTGCGCCACAAAAGTACACGGATTGCAAGCAAAATCTATTTATCTCTTCCTCCCAGGATCTAACGTATTCCTTCGGCTTAAGCCATTCTTCTCTCCACCCCGAAGCATCGCATCACCCTTTTTACCCAGCACCACCTCAAGAGCCTGGACCAAAGCCGTAGCATCATACTTCATTCCAATAGGCGTTTCAACGCTATCCGCATCCGCAGTAACGATCTTCCTCCCATAAAGACGAAGCGTCTCTATGCCCATCTCAGCGAGCCGGTCACGATCCACCTGTGGCGTCCCTGGACCCTCCAGATGAAGAATATGCGTAACATAAGACGAATAAGGAAGACTTAACCCCGGAATCGACCTATGACCACCAGAATTCGAGGAAGAAAGAGTCACCCGACCACGACTTTCCTCCCCGGCGCGAGTAATCGCCTCGACGAAGTTAACAGCCGTGAAAGGCTCAGACGGGGGCCCTGTTTCGCGATCTAGGGACCCATTCAAAATTAGAATCTTATGACGAGCTGGACTCGTCATGATTGCCTGTCCGACACCGCGGAGGATCAGAGATGGGATGAGAGACGTGTAGAGGGAACCAATACTGTAGATGATAGCCTGCGAGTCGCGGATGGCTTCGAGGACGCGG